AAACTATTTTGAAATTCTTATATGAAAACTCTGGGTTGTCATCCAAGGCCATATAGATTCTGTGATTTACCACCTGTTATATTAAGGCTTGAATTTTGCTCTATAATATAAGAAAAAACGTATTCTGAATTTAAAAATGGATGGCCATCTTCTTCCTATCCATTCATCTGCCAAATAAGAGAACCTCCAACAAAAGGGCAGCAGCAGCAGATTAATGATACAGGCCAAATTACTGTGAAATCTGCTCTTCCAAGGTCCAGATCGCATCTTCTCACAAAGTCTAGATATGCTTTTCTGTTAAATCTACTCTATTCTGTGCATCCTCAGTTCCAGGATATAGTCATTGTCCATCTGTGATACCTGCACATGGAGAAAACTGAGCAGATCACAGTATATTGTGTTCAAGTGAACTTATGTAGAAAACAGCAGGTAGCAGATGGCAGCAAAAACTAGTGGGTAACGATCCTGGCTAACTTGGAGAATGCTAAGCAAGATTCAACCTGTAAAACCTTCCGGTCTGTAATAATTTTAACTAGAAACAATGCAGATTCCTTTTTGAGATTTCAGTGATCACTCAGAGTGTAACACAAACGTAACAAAATCCAAAACATAAAAAAACGTCCTTTAATGCCTCCAATTTGGCCCCACTGTTCAATAATACTCAGTTGGAGATAAAATGTACTCAAAAATAGCCTTCAAAAGAAAGCAATACAGTCTGAATTTAATGAGCAGATAGAGCTGAAATAAAAAAACCAAACAAACTACAATGACAAAATTTCCACAATGGAACAAGAGAAGTATTTACCAAATTCAAGGAGATAACAAGGCACAATCTGTTGGAAGGACGCCAACCAAGATAACTTCAGACCAAAATAAAACATGCTTTGTTTCCAGCGTTTGCCAGTACGCAGGTCCAAACTCTTATTCAGTTGTCACACCTGCAGCCCATGAAGAGGATCAAGGCCCTCTCCTCCTGAGGAGACCATGTCTCTCCCTTATCCTCTCCTCCCTGCGTGCCCTAGGATGGATAGGGGAAGGGCCTGGGTCCTCCTCTGACTGCTCAGCTGGCCTCTGCCCTTCCCCGCCTCCTCCACAACCTCTGGTGCCACACTTCCACTTCCTGTCGGCTGTTCCTCCTCTCCCTCATAGTCAATCTCCACCAGGGGCGTGACAATTTCACTCAATAGGATTTGCAATACTGGATTTTAGTGAGAACTGAGGATCAAGCTATTGTAATCTATATTTCAAAAACTCAACGTAAGGAGGATTCAGTTTTTCAATTTCAGCAGAACTAGATATGTCTTCAGTCTTAATTTTCCGTAGCCAAACGTAGCCTCATTTTGTTCCCAAAGACCTCCAAATGTGTGTCTCAATAATTCAGGACCACTTGTAGCTCTTGCTGGGGATTTTGGAAGCTATTTATCTGAACACAAGTTACAATGCTTAAAACAAATGGTAATAAGGTAGAACCATGTAAAAGTTGATATGGAGATGTGCAGAATACACAATCATTCATAACAATGATGCCAATTCAGAAACGGAATCATGTCACTGAGGCCCAGTAATGAGGAAGTAGAAAGGGGTTCAAGGTCTCTTAAATAGAGCAGGGTGGGGGCTGTGTTGATCTCGGAGAATGAGGACAGTTTCCTGCTTTCTGGAATCCAAAACATGTTACTGTTTAATAAATCAGATTGGAAATACACCAATCCTGTTAGATATTATTAGACAGACAGCAGGGGTGGGATTCTACCAGTTCGTACCTATTCACTAGAATCGGTTGTTAACATTCTAAGCAGTTCGGAGAACCAGTTGTTAGAAGAAATTACTGGCCTAATCCTGTAAGGAAGGCAGGAAGGGAACATTCTAGTGTTGCTTACACAAACTGCCTCTGTGTTAACCCTTATTACATTCTTGGCAGGACTAGACTTCCTGTGTCAGGAACTTCTCTGGAGTTTTTTTCCCTTCCTTTGCTGGTACTTTGATTGTGTGGAGTGACCATTCAAAGTTACAGTGGCACTGAAAAAAGTGACATAACCATTTTTCACACTTACGACTGTTGAAGCATCCCCACAGTCATGAGAGGCCAGGTGAGGAGATGCATGCCTCGATGTGAGTGATGTTGAGTTGGCCACGCCCAGCCAATAACATGACCATCAAGCCATGTCCACCCAGTCACATGACCACCAAACCACGCCCACCAACTAAGCCATGTCCACAGAACTAGTTGTTAAAAATTTGAATCCCACCCCTGACAGACAGGTAGAATTGGAGATGAGGCATCCTGTGACCACATAAGGCCATGATGGCGAACCTATGGCACGTGTGCCGTCACCCTGGATCAGGTCCACTGTGCATGCGTGCACGCCTCCTGCCAGCCAGCTAATGGTCAGGTATCTGCCATGCATGCGCGTGGGGTGGGGCGTGCGTGGGAGACGTGCGCACATGCACATGCGCACAGGGAGTTGTGCGTGCATGTGCAGTGGCGTGAGGTGTACACGGGGGGATCACGCACACATGCACAGAGGTGCGTGGGGCGTGGGGCAGAGGTGGTATTCAGCAGGTTCTGACCAGTTCTGGAGAACCAGTAGCGGAAATTTTGTGTAGTTCAGAGAACCGGCAAATACCACCTCTGACTGGAGATTTTACAGTACCTTTCCCCTGCCACGCCCACCAAGCCACACCCACAGAACCGGTAGTAAAAAAATGTGAATCCCACCACTGGCGCGGGGGGGGGGTTGCCCATGGATGTGCAGGGGGCGCAGCTCATGCAAGGGGGATCACGCATACATGCTCAGAGGAGCGGGGGAGTTGCACACACATTGAATTATGGGTGCAGGCACATATATGTGTGCATGCACACACACACAAGCTTTCGGCATGCAACAACGAAAAGGTTAGCCATCACTGACATAAGGCTTTCACAGATTAAAAACCAGCATCTTGAATTCCCCCCAAAACCAAGTGGCAATTAACTAACTACATCCCTCCCTCTGCTGTCCACTTCTGGACCATATCTGGCTTCTGAATAGCCTTCCGGGACAGCCTAGGTAGAGTTCACTGGAGTGACTCATACCATGAATAATTTACAAAACCTGGTTGCAGAATTCAGCAATTTCAGATCATGATGGAGAAGAAAATTATCCAAATGGTCACTAAGAGCTGACAGAGACTTGATGGCACATAATCAATGTTATTCAGAGGAATCGATGGCTAATCTAACACGGTAATTTTTGTTCTACCAATTCAAGTCCATATCTCTCACCATGGCCAAAAACCAAACTTGATTAAATTAAATTAAATTAACAAAATTCAAGTTCATGTTTCAGAAAGTTTTTAATAAAGCATCCTGTTAACAGTTACAAGTTGCTAGCAGCTAGAAGGTATGAATTCATTGTGCATCCATGTCAGACTCTCCTAGAAGAACAGAAAATACAAAAATAGAGCCTCATCCCCGCCTTTCTTGCTCTCCCCCTTTATGTGCTCTCAAGGAGGACAATAAGGCAATAAGACCAAGGAAATAAAATACAGTTTTCTGAGTAATTTCAGTGTGCTGCATTTCTCCACAAACTTCATGAGACCCAAAAAATATGCACTGAAACTAGAATTGCATTGAAACAACCAAACAGAAAACTCAACTAAATGATGTGTCCCCCTAGAGCAGGGGTCGCCAACTGTATGGACGTCAGGGACCACCAAACTCATAATTTTAAATCCTGCGGACCACTAATATGAATTTTGACTGACGGTGGCTTGCTGACATGGGGGGGGGGG